ATGTAAAGAAACGGCGACTGCCGTCCATGGTTTAAGGTATTGGTAGTCCAGCGTAAGTTCTTCCAGTTGCATCAATCCACGGAAGCTGCCAAATGGACTTCTCGTTCCATGAAGATGAACTCCATTCTCGCCTGTCCACTCGAGTGTCTTCAGTGCTGGGAGGGACGTCGACAACAATTGACTCAAACGTCTATAGTTGTAAGTTTCGAGAGCAGGGTGGCCAATTCTAGTCATCTTGAGGTGTTTCATATTGTGCATTTGAGGCAGTGATATCATCGTCTCGAGATCATCCTGATTTATCAGGACGTCTTGAAGTTCAAGACTACACATACCTCCTATGGCACGAGGGTCATTGTGTGGTAGCCAGCAGAGACGGCTATCGCCCTGACCACGAATCTTCAAGCTCTCCGTAGGTGGTAGTATCGGGATACTCGCTTCTGCTCCGATCGACAACTCCAGACTCTTCAACTTGTTGAATGGGTAAGATTTTCCGGATGCTCTTTGCGTGGACCCTTGCCATCGTTCCCAACAGGCCTCATGAGGAATTTCATCATCGATATCCTCCAGCTGGAGATGTTCGAGGTTGGTTGCGAGAAGAAGTATGATCGTAAGCAAAAAACCTAGGAATTGGCCAGTGAACCTTTTCAGCGTAAATTGAGGGCCGCACAAGGGGCCCGCGAGATCTTGTATGATTTTCTTTACTTCTGGTGACCTTGTGAGGAAGTTTTCGCGGACATTCTCGACGCGACCATTAAAGATCTCGGTTTCCAGATGATTTGCTTTCACCATTCTCAGAATATCAGAAGCGCGTACTCTTACTCTGTTCTCACGGGTATAAACCAACTGAAAGCTTCGTATGTACCGAGCAACCTCCTTGCGGACGACTAGGTTCAATGCAAGACGCGCCATAGAATATTTGCTCGTATCGTGTACCTTGATATTCCTGTATAGATATGGCTCTGCCTACCCGCGGTAGTACTTATTAGTGAGCGTTAGGGCGTGGAGTGCGCATTGAGGTAGCTGCTGTATGATGAGCCCGTCGAGTTCGGTCGAAAGCTCTGAGAGCGACATGGTGGCGCTAGATTTAGAGGTGCTTGTCTGTTATCGAGTGTGGAGGATGTGTCGTCTTATAGCTTGCAAAATTATCAAACTCGGAAACCGCGGGTATTTTTAGGGTATGTGTTGAGAGGAGAGAGCAGATGGCCTAACCTCCCAATATATAACCTCTTTACACGGCTAGGTTCCAGCAGCAGCACATGACCGGAGTATACCATGGTTGAGATATTGTTCAAGTTCAGGCGAGAACCATATTTGACGGTAACCAGCCCTGGAAACGAGTGAATGAAATGGTTTCTCCAACCATATGTACATACATGGTTGGTTTCAACGATGGTGACGATGGTAGTGCGGTAGGTGTGAGTGGCTCGTTGTCCATGGGTCATCGCAGTACCATGGAAGCCATGCAATCGAAACACAACTTTACATCAGCACCACATGATGAGAAAAACTGAACGTGTTTGCCTAATGTACTTGCCCCGCTTTCGAGGTTACCGCAGTGAGGTGAAAGCAAAAACACGTGTCGCGAGGTCCGTGCCCACGACACTGCAGACGCGCCTTCTTCTCTCTGTTCTCTGCTCTTTACAGATGTCTAACGTTACCCACACCCGATCGCGCGATCTCGACCGCCCGCCATGAACCGTCTCTCAACTGAGATAGACGAGAATATCGCAAAGCGTCTCGACAAGAAAGATCTGTCGGCCCTTCTGAAGACTTCGAGATATCATCGCACGATAGCAGAACCATACCTGTACGGCGAACTCACCTTCTCGGACCAACAGCATGCTAGGATAAGCCTACTTTTCAATACCATATTCGATCATCGAGAGTTGGCGGGGCGTATTCGTTCGTTCACTTTGACCGACAAGGAGCACACGAACACTTTTCCGAGCACCCACAGCTCTACGTCACTCTGGCCGAAGCTGGCTGAGGTGAAACTTCTACTCGAAGAGTTTGTTCCTTTGTCGTCGTCGTCGTCGTCGTCGTCGTCGAGGCTTCTAGCAAAGCGATGGCTCCAACAATTGTTGGCTTATGCGCCGGTCATCGACGGCAAAGTCGCGATGATCATTTGTCTTGGGAAAGAGATAAATGATATCACCCTCAGTACCAGGCTGCTAGAGATGCCAATAACGCGTATCGTCATCGGTTGGCCATGGATCCAACTGGACGCTATTGCAGAGGAGGATCATTTGACCCCACCAACCTTGGAAATATATGATTCGAGTACCTACCTAACTCAACTCTATGATCCTTTTAGTCGACATTCTTCTCCCCCTTTAACAGACGCTACCGACAACGAAAAGAAAGAAGGTGAACAGGCTATCCAGAGGCGTGACAAATACCACATGAAGCAAATGGACGACCGCAATGCTCCTTATCCGTTCCACAAGTTGGAGAGGTTAAGTATTCATGACCCAAAAGGTCTCGCCAGCTACAAAAGCATCCATTGGTGCCGGTACCCTAGACGGCTGTTTTATAGCTTCAAGTCACTTTGCAGCTTGACCACCCTCACTATAGACGATGAGCTTATCGACTTGAACTATCGAAGTCTACTCATCCACATACTCACTTCACAAGTGCTCCCAACCAGCTTGCAGTCATTGAGCATTACCAGCATCTGCTGTGTGCGACTCGCACAACTATGCAGAAAGCACACAACAGGTGAAGAGCAAGATGCGGCTACAAAGCGCATCGTCAACGCAGTGACAGCTTTACGACTTGAAAGCCTCGAGTTACACACTAAGGCGGCGTGGCATATGCTTTGGGCCGATTATATGACGGAGCGAGATGAGTCGATTCATAGATTCGTCCCTGGCATGATTGATGCTTTGAGTCGCTGTGGAACTACTATGCGCGTTTGGCATCAGGGCGTTTCGGGACAGACCCTATGGTACGAGCCCGGTTTTGCGGTAGCGAAACAAGACTGGGACTGAACTTTGACCTCAGGAGCTGGTCAGCATTCTAGCTTTGAGTTGCCTAGACAGTTTGTCGCGCCTGTGCTCGATACTGCTACTGTCGAGGACTGCATGTCACAAGAGAATGGAAATGGTGAGGCTCGTAAAAGGGAGAGAGCAGTATGTAGACAGCGAAGATGTAATGTTTAATGAATCCCCTCAGGCTCTTGATAGATCGTGGGTAAGGAAGAGTTATAAGTTGCAATTTTCCGCTGCGACTTTCTCTCCGATGCAATGTGATCATGAGAGACATACATTTGGTAACTACGTCATTGACACTAGGATCTCACGGGGCGGCGATCTCCGTGCCTCGGTCATAGCGGGGTTAACTTTCTTGGGCTGAGCTGCGAAGTGGCTAACATACGCGTCAACGTCACCAGTGTAGTACATTGTAGCATCACCTCCAACGCCATGGAAGAATACAAAGCAAAATATGCCATACACGAGGCCTGCCGAGAGGGCCAAGGTATTTATAATCTACAACTTTCCCCCAGCCAACCAACTCTAACAACCCCAGCATCCCGCGTCGACTCCCTCCTCGCCGCAAACCCCAAACTCGCAAACCTCCGCGACCCAGACGACCGTCTCCCCATTCACTGGGCAGTATCCTACAACCACCTCCCTATCGTTCAAACTCTCGTGCAAGCCAAGTCCTTCGACCCCGACGTGACAGATGGCTCCGGCTGGACGCCCCTCATGATGGCGTGTTCCCGAAAAGACGCAGAGGCCATAGTCGACTTACTGCTCTCCAAAGATGCCGAAGTAAACGCGAAGAACAATAACGGCCAAACTGCCTTGCACTTTTGCGCATCGAAAGTCAACCTCGATATTGCGCGGACATTGCTGGCACAAAAGCCGCCGGCGAGTGCGCGGACAAAGGACAAGAGGGGTCAACTTCCACTACACCGAGCAGCGGCAGTGGGCAGCGTACCGATGATGAAGGCGTTGTTAGAAGCAAAGAGTCCGTTGAATGCTACCGATATGGACGGCATGACAGCGCTGCACCATGCGATGAGCGAGGGGCATGGAGACGCGGCGCTGCTACTGTTGACCATGGGCGCGGAGCACGATAAGAAGGACAATGATGGCAATCTACCGCTGGATCTCGCGCCAGATGCGAAGACCAGGAGCTTCATACTGCAGGCTGCGGAGAGGGAGGGCATAGATCTGCTGTAGGGAGACGATATACTTATGATGTGTAATGTTGCATTTACGGAGTCTATACGATACCCAGGGTCATGGCGCATTCATCTACTATATGGATTATGGAAATGTTCGGAACGGAGTTTCTGTCTGCAAATGGTACTGGTTACTTCCGTCATGCGTAGAGCTGTCTGGTTGGTTGGGATGGCACTAGCTCATGATCAGCCCTCCCGACCTCGACATTCTCTCCTCTTACAGCCCCTCACACCCCGCGTGTTCTGCACTTCGGACCTATTGCGCAATCGCACTCATCACCTGCATTAGCCCCCATTCTGCCGGCATGTCATCAGCAGCGGGTCTAGCGTCTACCCGCAGCGATCAGTCTACATTCAATGCTTCGAGTCTGCGCACCCGGACACGCACGGATGCCAACTGGAAACTATAACATGTATACACCTCTGTGAAGCACGCGACAAACATGCACAGATTCTGCAATCGCAATGGTAAACGAATGACGTTACTTTGGTACCTGACGCGATGCTAATCATGAGGATGATTCGCCATCATGGTGCCCGTCGTCACCCATCATGGTCTTCACTGATTAACTATATAGTATGCGTGGGACCATTTACCTATGCCGAGGCCTAGATACGTGCGGTTTACATCCCCAAGGACCTATACAGCAAGTACAACTTGAATTGCTCCTACCTCAGAAGAGCTACAAGTCGCGACCATAACGATACAGCTGCTGGTCTTCCTCCTTACCTCTCTTCAGCACCATACCCCATACAAGCATACAACCACTCTTTTATCTTGCGCTTCACATACCTTATACTATAGCACAGCATGGCAACTCTCCCCGATCCATCTCCCTATCTCAACTTCCTAATTTCGCCACGAATTCCTCCTGAGCTCGTCTTGAAGACGATCCAACACCTCCCTTTCAACGACGGCACGCTCATAACCGCAATACGTTCTGCTCATCCCCGTCTCTGCGCCATCTTCAAAAACTACGAAAAATCTATTACAGGCAGCTTTATGCGCAAGGAGCTACGGCACGCGGAAACCGATTTCAGTCGCCAAGATGGAAGATTAAACGTCGACTGGCTAGCGGACTGTGTGAGCAAGTACGACATTGTAGACGATGTCATGGACGCCCTCTGCTCCGAACACAACTTCAATGCCGTTCTCCGACATAACATAAGCCTTGCGAACGCAGGGTTACTGCTATTATACAAGCTCGTATCGATTGGTCAGTCACACATATTCCACTCCACAAACCTTGTCTTTCGTAACCAACTCTCAACTAACACGCGGTCATCTCGTTAGCATCCCACACAGATCGACTCACATACATCAAGAGTCTGCCCCAGGATCCGCTCACAGCAATCTACCTCATCCTCCACCACGCCACCCTTTCCGCCCGCTACCACGGCTCCGGCTGGATAAACCAACGCACCTACGGCCGCTTCATGGACGCCAACCAAGTCTCGCTGCGCTGCGAGTTGGAATTCTGTTTTGCCGAAGCCGCCTTAGTTCTCGGTCCCGAGTTCATCTCGGATAGCCTGCTGCACCACGATACGGGTGATGCGGAGACTGTGCTGCTCAACTTTTATGTCGACCATGGGACGCATGACTGGGCGTGGCCTTGTTGGGGGGACGGCAAGGGCGAATTTGAACCGCCGAGAGCGCATGGACCTCAGCGGGAGCCGGGCAAGGGGAGGAGCCTTTTTACGACGCTGTTGGAGAGGTTGGCAGAGTGCATGGGGTGTGGGTTGGGGGATGTGAGGACGAGGGTTGAACGGGAATTGGAAACTCGGGATCACTCGCTCGCGTATCTGAGTTTGGCGGGCAAGGCAAGGTTGCTGGAGGGAAGGAATGTTTGAGGATGGGGATGGGAAGGTAGGGCGTCAGATTTGAGTTTGAATCTTGCATTTTCCATGTTTGCATACGAAAACGGTCATTTCTAGCAGACTTGTATACCCAATTAGCCCATCATATAGCCACTTATGACGCTATGCAATGTTTAAATTTTCACCATTTCAAAGCGCTGCATAAACATCCGTTCTCCTGTTCAAGGGCGAGTCCTTGCGTAACTGGTTCACAAAATCAAGATCAATCTCAGCCGTCGCAATCTCACCCTCATCCTTCCAACTGCCTCCCTCGCCCTCATCACCCCCTAGCTCTGCAACAATCTTCCCCCACGGATCCACAATCATACTGTGTCCCCAACTGCGCCTCTTGCCCTCTTCATCATGCACACCCACCTGCGCAGCTGCAATGATGTAGCTCTGCGTCTCAATCGCACGGGCTCTGATGAGAATCTCCCAATGTCCTGCTTTGCCCGTGGGAGTGGTAAAAGCAGCGGGGTACAGAAGAACTTGTGCGCCCCGCGAGCGCAGGGCGAGACCAGGTTCTGGGAATCGCAGGTCGAAGCAGATTTGCATGCCGAGTTTGCCTATGGGACTGTCGAATGGATCGCCTAGATGTACGCCGCGTTCTACTCCTGCAGACTCTTGCATTTGAGGGCCGTCTTTGACGTCCATGTCGAAAAGGTGGAGTTTTTGGTAGCGGTATCTGATCTCGCCATCAGAAGTGATCCAAATTAGGGTGTTTTTGACTTTCTTTCCATCGTCTGTGGGCTCGTGGATGCCGACGGATATGGGTAGAGAGTATTGTTTTGCGGATTCTTGGAGCCCGAGTACGAATTCGGAATCTTGGACAGATTTGCAGAGCTTGAGTCCGCCAGATGTGGTTAGGTAGTCTGCTGCTTCGGGGAGGAAGAGGGCGGCTGCGCCTGCCTTGTGGGCTTTTTGGCAGAGTTCTTGGGCTTGCTTGAGGTTCTCGGCCATGGAGGCCATTGAACGCATCTGTCCGACGGCCTGGTAATGGTTAGTGTTGGTAATTTATAAGTCATCTTGAAAACACGATTCGAGAAACGGTACATGTGAAGGATAAGAAGATGATACTAGACTGGAGAATAACTTACAGCGAGAGGCATCTTGAAGGTAATGGTGGATGGTTGTGTGTGGCGGAAAAGATGGACGAAATGAAGCTATCTGTGTACTTATACGACGACTATCAGGCAGAACTAAAGAAATGTTATCGTCGTCGTCAGAGACGGCAGAAGCGATGCCACTAGGGAGACTAGTTCAAATCGAGTAGCCATCGTAAGATGCAAGTGCATCTGAATTTGCATGTCTAAAAAAGCATAACGCATGTACCCGCCATGCCAAAGTGAAGATATGGCATACCTCGATTCACATGCGGAAGCGATGGCCGGGACCCAAGTCCCCTGCATAAGTTGTGGTGGTGGGAATTGCGTCAGGGCGGAGTTGCGGCAGAGCGGAAGGCTAGCCAATCGGCGTTTGTCTGGCTACGTGCTACGGCATCCGTCATGCTGAGGGCTTGCGCGGCAGGAATCGTGAGGACACGAATACGACGGGGGCTATTTCGCTTACACGGGCATCGTCTAGCTGCGACAAGCAATTTCGAGTCTCGGACATCGACTGCATTCCACGCATGGTGGTGGTTATTGTTGTTGTTGCGAAAGTCTTAGCCTGCAACTCCCCGCGAAACCTTAGCTGACCGCGTACCACGTCCAACAGACCAACCTGGCCTTATGCGCAATTGAGCTATGAACAAACACAGGCGGAGAACGAGTGCACGGTGAAAGCTAGCCAAGCTCCACAGACGAGGAACAGAGTCGCCACACGCAACAAGGCTGTAACGGCACGATGAGTGGGAAGAACTGGTGGAACAGCGCCATCTCGGGCTTGGAGTCGCGACTCGACACGATACTGGCCGAGGATGGCACCCCAAAGCCAGCAGGCGCGGGCCCGGATGCAGCCGCCAGAACGGAAGGCGCAGACAAGGCGGCGACGGACAAGAAGCTTGCAGTTGAGCCAGGTGGGTAGCCTTGTCAGAGACATGATACCATAGCCCTTCGCAAGGCTAACAGCATAGAAGCCTCGCGCAACTCGTCACGAAGCCGACCCAACTCCCGCCTCCAGGACCGTCTAGCCAAGGCCGTGAATAAGGGATCTGAAGCAAGAACCTCGTCGGATCTGGGGTCGAGACCAGCAAGTCCTGCTGTAAATGCCGTCACCGCATCGCCGAGGGCAAGCATAGATTCAAAGGCGCCTGAGCCAGTGACGGAAGTTGTACCGTCCAAGGAAGAAGCTACCACAGTGAAAGAAGATGAGGCGACCAAGTCAGATGGCAGTAAGGCCGGGGAGCCTTCACAGACACCACAACCCGCTGTAGAAGCACCTGCGCCCATAGTCTCTCCCCCAGCGACTTCACCACCACCTACACCTCTGGTAGCCGAACAACCAAAATCGACGCCTGTTCCCACCATGTCCATGCCCTCGATACCCTCCATTGTCACCCCACAGACATCCTCCCCACGCCAGTCTTTCGACAGCGACCCGTCGCGACCCTCTGTCGACGCCATTACCCCAACACCGCCTCCCGAAGCCAAAGACCCCGAAGAAATACAAGTCGAGCTATCTCTACTCCAGAACACATACCAAGAGACGTTAAAGGACAACCGCGAGGAGCTCAACGCACACCTAGAGCGAATCGATGCTCTACAGTCCAAATTGACATACATGTCTGAGCAACTCGCTGCATCTGCCAAGGCTGCCAAGTCTGACTCTGGAGCAACACCGGTGGACAAGAAGCTGGCAGACAAGGATGCGCAGATCGCTGCACTCATGGAAGAGGGCCAGAAGCTCTCAAAGACGGAGATGAAGCATCTCACCACTATCAAGAAGATGCGCGCCAAGGCTTTGGAACAGGACAAGGAAATTGCGACTCTCAAGCAGCGATTGACCAAGGCGGAGAAGAGCATCACTGATCAGTCGGAAAGGGCACGGCGCGCAGAGGCGGCGGAAAAGTCTGCGCAGGAAAAGCTGAAAATTGTAGGCAGGATCGAAAAGGATATCGAGACTATTAGAGCAGAGCGCGAGGAAGCTGGACTTACAATATCCGAGTTGCGGAAACAACTCAGCGATGCGCTCTCACGGGCAGAAGATGCCGAAAAGAGGGTTCAGTCTGGCGCGCTGGAAGCAGAGAAGAGGGCCACTGCGTCGCTGAAGGAGGACATTGAGAACGTGCGGATAGAGAAGAAGCTTGCCGAAGACCGTGCGAAGAGAGAACTTCAAGCGGCCAGAGATGAAGCAAAGGGCCAACAGGAGAAGGCAAAGGTCGCCGAGCTGGAACTGCGTGGCGAGATTGCTGTAAGTGATGACGAACCTTTGCAAATGCATGTACACTGACATGGGATTCAGAATCTAGAATCTAAGCTAGAATTGCTCCGCAGCCGCACAGAAGAGGCATCTTCATCAGCGACTGGCGATTCACAGGCCAAGCTTCTGCGACAGATCGAGACGTTGCAGACTCAGTACTCGTTAGCTTCCGAGAACTGGCAAGGTATTGAGACCACTTTGACATCTCGCGTCGCGGCTCTTGAGAAGGACCGAGACGAAACGGCGAAGCGCGAATCTGACGTCAGGCGGAAAGCAAGAGACGTCAACTCAAAAGCACGTCGACTGGAAGACGAGCTCGAGAGCATCAACGAGCGAGCCCGAGCATTCGAGCACGACCTGACCGAGCAGCGTGCTGCAGCCCAAAAGCTGCAAGCTAGGCTCACGCAAGCAGAGTCTGCCGCACAAGATGCACAGGCAGAACTCGAGCGAGAGAAGAAGGTCTGGGAGGCTGAGCTCCAACAACGAATAGAAGACGAGAAGAACAAGTGGAAGGTGGAAATACAGACACCATCTCTAATGGGCGAATCTCAATACCTGCGGACAGACTCACCCTCTATAGCCCAACGAAGGCATTCGCCCGATCCACTTGGTATCTACAACCGCCGCCCAAACCCACGTTCCATCACCAGCGGCATGGACCTACCCATGATGTCCCCCATGGACCGCATGTTTGACGAAGCCTCACGCCGCCCCTCGAGCTCCCGCCACAACAAGTCCAACAAAGTCCGCACCCCAGAAATCGGGACCCCTCAACGACAAGACTCGATTCCGTCCAGCATGTCGAACCTCGCCGGAGGAGGAGTCCCAGACACACCCTCGATCCACACAATCGACCACGACAACGACCCCTTTGAAAACACATCCTCGCCGCACCGCACCATCAACGACATGATATCCGTTTCCACCGCCGGCGCCGGCCCCTCGGTCCAACTCGTAGAGCGCATGTCCGCCGCAGTCCGCCGTCTGGAATCAGAAAAAGCAACACACAAAGAGGAGCTCGCGCGCCTCACCGCGCAGCGCGACGAGGCGAGGGAAGAAGTCGTAGCACTCATGCGCGAAGTCGACGAGGCGCGCAAAAACGGTGACAGGGTCGCTGATCTCGAGAAGCGCATGGATGAGATGCAGGTTAGAGAGGAGGCGGCCTTGGATATGTTGGGCGAGAAGACGGAGAGGGTCGAGGAGCTAGAGGGCGATGTGAGGGATTTGAAGAAGATTTATAGGGAGTTGGTTGATACGCTCAAGTAGTGTTGGGGTATGTATGGGTGGGTGGTAACAGCATTAGCATGGCATGGCATGGCGTGGCACTACTGTGGGGTGCTTTGGAAATGTCCAATGGTCATATCATGATATACTCTTAAGTGTTTTCTTATCAAGGCCTTAAGAGATTCGCATTTCAGTTGATTTGATGGACGTGCTGGATAAGGTCTTAAGAAATTCACCTTTCGTTCGTCTGTATTTGAATACCATCTGGAAGTGTCGTTACTCGCCAAACTCACAATGCCACGTGATGATTACTGCAGCCTTGAGCGTTCCTGCCCCACTCCCTTTCGCAGCGCTTACCCACTCTCATCTCACCTTCTCCGTCAATAGAGAACTATCGCAACCTCTCTGTATACCCCTTCCTCAATAGCATTGCTTGCTATTTGTAATTCCGTACAATCTCGTTCGATGCGTCTTTTACGCCTCGACGATGACAAGGACCTCAGCCTCGTCGAGCATTACGAGGGTGATATACCACCATACGCCATTCTCTCACATACATGGGGCGCGGATAGCGATGAGGTCACTTATCTCGATGTAGTGAATATGGCGAATCCCCATAAACTGGGATGGAACAAGATCCACGCGTGCGCGAAGCAGGCCAAAAGAGATAAGCTCCAGTACATCTGGGTGGATACATGTTGCAGGTCAGTTTACAAAATATACATGACAGGTTCGTATCACTGACATCAAAACAGTGAGTAGCTCTACTTTCGGCACAAGACAATTCATGGCAAAATCATCCTTCGTATATTCGCTAACGTGATCTTGGCTTGTGATAGTCGATAAGTCTAGCAGTGCTGAGTTAACAGAGTCGATCAACTCAATGTATAATTGGTACAGGCAAGCAAAGGTCTGCTATGTTGCCCTGGAAGATCTCCCTGCCCATGTGGGACTGGAGGATCAAATTGCCAAATGCCGTTGGTTCACTAGAGGTAAGAGATGTCTCTTTACGGACTGAATATGACATATATACTGACCTTGTATACCTAAATGTTAGGTTGGACATTACAGGAACTACTTGCTCCATCGAACGTAGAATTTTACGATCAAGATTGGACGTTCAGGGGGAGAAGGAAGGACCACACCGACACTATATCCAAGTTCACCTCAATTCCTACTAAGGTCTTACTCAAGCCAAAAGCGATATACAAGGAGTCTGTTGGTGCACGGATGTCCTGGGCTTCCAAGCGAGTCACCAAACGTACTGAAGATATGGCGTACTGTCTTCTTGGTATCTTCGAGATCAATATGCCATTAATATATGGAGAGGGCAAAAGAGCGTTCCTACGTCTTCAAGAAGAAATTATCAAGCGCAGTAACGATCTCACTATACTAGGATGGGACAATGTTGTTATGCCGCGCACCAAAAAGTGGGACAGTCTTGTTGAAGTCTTTGCTACTTCTCCAGCTGCCTTCGCACGCAGTGCTGATCTCCAAAAGACCTCTTCAGGGTTAGGACCTGAGTTCTCCATCACAAATCGAGGTCTTCTGCTCACTGGGGACTTCAAATTATTCTATCGATCATCGCGCCAGGAGCCGGAAATGTCGACTTACGTCCTTCAAATTGCGACTACGGACGACTCCGCGACTCGTGAGATTGGCCTTCGAAAGCTAGCACCGCGTCTGTATGGTCGTTTACGAAGGCTCCCTCGGTTGGAGGATCACAATGCGTCCTCTAGCTCTGACGATAGTGACTACATAACCGAGACACGAACATATGAAGATACGATCTATATAAGAACTGACTTCCATCATACCGATGATTTCACTCACCTTGCTGCTTCCCGGAAGAATGCTTTGCATATTCCCAAGCAAAAATATCTCGAGATCCTTCGAGTAACTCCGCAATGGTTGTGGGATCACTCGGACGCCGTGTTCCTACAGACGAGACTAGACGCTCTCGGTCATCCATACTACTCCTCCGTAGTAGCTGTTCAGTTCGAGCTCCGGCTTGGAAGTCGCAGTAACAATATATTTGTGGTCTACAAAAGCGGGGTCGCGCAACCAGTTCTCCATGTTTTCAGCTCTCTCCTGATGGTGGAATATACGCTAATCAGGATGAAACTTTTTCCAAATGCTTTGGGTAGCGTCGGCAATATAGACCCTAAGAAGGACATGTCGTGGGAGGATATGAAAAGAGAAATACCGTGGGTCTTGGAGAAGGGCGACACGACCGAAGTATCTGATGAGGAATTCAGATACAACATCAAGTTCTTTTTGAAGTCTGACCATCTCGGCCCCCACAAGATTCGAGTCATAAGCCTCAAGGCGTCTATCACTAAGGGTGAACCTCTTGGTTTATAGATGGGATGGATTGATTTTACGGATGATTTGGCTATATAGGCAGTAATTAGTGGTTGTGGCAGGTACCAATAACAACATAGGATGGCTCTTTCCTCAAACCTGGGGGTTGTTACTACACAAAAGTGAGTGAACTGTAGTTTAACGTTCTCACTCTTGTATCAAATATTAACGTCAGGCTTCAGCGTCTATAATGTCATTCCTCAACTACCAAGTTATTCGCTAGGAACACACCTCTGAGATCAAGTCGATAGCCACCATGAAATCGATTCTGCAACGAGCGACACAGATTCAATGGATAATACCAAAGCTGTGCAAGATGATCAAACACACTAGATATGGTCTGAGGTCCAGTAGTGGCATATTTGGTATCTTCTATCTACACGCTGTACTCGCAATGTTATGTACGTGGTCAACACTATCAACCTTGACAACACCTTTTGAAAAAACAGCTAATCCTCTGCATATTTCAGCTCCAAAACGCCTGAACTGTCCAACTCTAATCTGTGTTCTCTCCGCTCATGCAGAATCATCATTTGTTCTCCGATCGATCCCGTATTCATATGCCCAGATAGTACTTCCCCCTCTCATACGCATAAAAGCTGACAGCAGCCATCGGAACAACCTTGACATAGCCAATCGTCAGCCCCACGAAAAAGCCTTTGTATCCTCTCTCCATGTAGATTCTCCTCGTAACCTCCGGTATACTAAGCCGATGGCCATCACCAACGACACCACCAACCTGCATTCTCCGTCTTATAACTTCCAGTGGGTAAGACACTGTTTGTGAAAAGAAGCCTGCGATACCACCGCTAGTCAGTTCAGCCCAATAGCGCAATTGCGCGGGCTTGTGGCTTGAGGTGCTGGATTCTTCGCGAGAGGTATTGGGCAGTGTTGTGTAAGGAGCGAGAATGGGGATGCGCATGAGATCGGACATGGAGTCGTGGGCGAGAAACGAGGCGCCCGCATAGGGTATCATGCCGAGAAGCGTGGGTGTGAAGCCGCGGAAGAAGTTCGAAAGGCCGGAGCGCGGGGTAACGGTTTCGACGACGTGGGTTGCGGTTGCTGTGATGGGATTCTTTGGTTGCGATATTCGTGGTGCTTGCTCGCTGTATATTTTTCGTACTATAGTTACGAGACTACTGCGGGCTTCTTCTTTTGTCTCAAAGGCGAGGCGCACGCGGATTACCTCGAGGGGGTATGTCAGGAAGACGCTCATCATGCCTGCTAAACTGCCCGAGATGAACCGTCGGCCCGGCGTTTCTTGCGCTTTGTTTTTTATTATGCGACCGCGTATTTGCTCGTAGGCGAGAAATTTGATGCCGGCATAGGGGAAAATGCGGAGGAGTGTTGCCGAGTGACCCTTGAAGAGACCACGTACTCCGGTGCTGACGTAGATGTCGCGGATTGCCGTAGGGAAACCACTCCAAGAGCCGGCGTATTTCGCGAACTGGGGGTTGCGGGTTTGGAAGAGGATTTTTACGCGGTCGAGGGGGCCTACTACCGTCTTTGCCTGTTGGGCTGTTAGTACTTGTACGTTTGATGGTTTGCTTCATGTGATGAAGTGTGTCTTGACATACAGCGCATCCGGCGAACCCTCCTGCCACTCCGCTCTTGATCAGATATTCCATGCTGTTCTTATCCGTCTTCTTCTTTCCAGAGGCCGTGGCCGCGCCGCCTTCCTTCTTCGCTGACATGGCCGTGTCATGGTCTGGTATTATGTTGCTTGCGCGATTTGTTGGCGCCGCAGTCGTCGTCATGATATTCGATTTGTTTCCGTCATAGCGGAGGAGATCCGTGGACATTCCAGAACTGAGTTGCGTGGGGTTACCGCGACATGAATTCAGTGAAATGCGATTTCCTTGGCGTTGTCGATTCGCGTGGCTACAACGAGGAACGTGGTTGAGAACGTGGAAGGGGTCGCGTGTATGGGGATTAGAAAGCAACGCCGTTGTGTGGTTTGGTGTTTGAGATGCAGCCACGGCGATGACGTTTACCGAGGCTGATCTGCTGCTTTCGGCCGGCACTTAGCCCAGATCATTTCATCCGACGCTACCCATCGGAAATGCTTCCCATGGCGCCCTCAACACCACAAGCGCATCGTGAAGTCTGCGATCAGGACCTCGTTATCGTTGATCACGTGCATGTATGAGAATATGTGGTGAATGCGTGAGTGTGGTCTTGGAAATCGCGAGCAGGAAGTAGCTGTGACGTAAGACTAGAATTGGTAGGAAATCTTCCATCATTGTCCTTTCCTTTCGATTACTTCCCGTCATGACTTCTCCAAGCCCCATCATCTACCAGAACGTGGAGGGAGACATCACGTTGATCGATATACCAACATCTATCGCAGCAGCACAAGGCGACCGCTCGGGAGTGCTGCTCTCTACTCCACCCTTGGATACTCCCATCGAACCGAAAGAAGACTATCGGCCCAGGACACAGAAGTCTAGAACGAACAAGACTCAGGCACAAGACACGACTACCACGCCGCATGCGACAGTGGCAGAAGCCTCTAACCACGACTTCCTGTCGTTGCATCTTGATGACCAACGTTACAAAGTTCTTGCTGAACATGCACTCCGCCAGATACGTGCACAGGTCTCAGGGCCGTGGTGCACACAGCGCAAGCTAATGACCCAGGAGCCAGTCCGTGGGGAACAACAGGTCATGGATGTAGACGAAATCTCCGAGAAAGAGCTCGAGGCTCGGATGAGGGAGTGGGCAGCGTCCGGCGAGACGAAAGAAGATGATACCGCATTCAACCTGCAACAGATGATGGCTTCGCTCGGCGCAACTTCCGAGGTTGCAGAACCAGCCTCTACGGCACCACAGTGGATGATGTCGTACCGCGCTGCACGTGAGACTACAAGTAGCACAACGCAGGCCGCTGAAACGGTCTCTGCGGACGCACAAACTGAACCATGGACGGGTACCTTTCACAACCCCAACCACCACTCCGTAGCACTTGCGATCGCCACAAATACGTCGCAATCTGCTCAGCCGGGTTCAGAGTATCGTTTCACAATACCACCTCGCTCCACATTCTTCCTTAGCGATTCCACTGCATCGGACGCTTTCCGTACCTCGTTTCGTGAGCTCACGAACGAATACACCCTTCCACGACACTTTGATCTAGTGCTGCTGGATCCGCCATGGCCCAATCGTTCAGCCAAGCGGAAGGGCGCATATGAGCAGGTTGGCGGCATGCCGTACCTCAAGAAAATGCTACTGAACATGGATATCGACAGTTATCTCGAGCACAATGCCCTTGTGGGCGTCTGGATCACGAACAAGCAGTCACTGAGACAACATGTGCTTGGACCTGGCGGACTCTTTGAAACGTGGAACGTGGGCTTGATCGAGGAATGGATATGGATCAAGACGACGACCAAAGGCGAGCCCATGTTCGACATTGATAGCACCATGCGCAAGCCCTATGAAATTCTGCTGCTGGGTCGTGCGGCCCCCAACTCGTGGACGACGATGGCACACGCGCCAACGGTCAAAAGGAGAGTCATCGCTGCTGTACCAGATATCCACTCGCGGAAACCGTGTCTGAAGACGTTACTCGAACCCTATCTGGTGGATTCGAATGATTACAGTGCGCTTGAGGTCTTTTCTCGGTACCTAGTCAGTAAATGGATGTCTTGGGGTAACGAGGTACTGAAATACAACTGGGATGGCTACTGGGCTCCGGCTTGAAGTGCCGTGGCCTCTGTGACGAAAGCGTTGACCTCTCTGGCACATGGTATACCGTGGTCATAGATTGCACGCGGTGACTCAGAAGAACGTACTGGTCCCCGGGGATGATGGTCCTTGGATTGCGTGACTTACTACCCGGCGACCATCAGTCAGTTCTTTCTTGGGTGGAGTGCATGTCGTCTGTTCGTTTACCCAAGACCCAAACATAGTACTTGTAGTATTCTGCAATATAATCACACAATGAAGGCACACAACTTTCAGCATGGTTTCTTATGAACGTACACGTATTTTCGCAATTTTACTTCATCCACAAGCAGAGAACGATGCACATTGCACCGCGATATCAGGTCATGTGCTAAACTCACCCTCCGTTCATGCGAATCCAAGTCAAAGCAATACCCGAGTTTCCTTACTTCCGCAATTACTGCCACGTAAGCAACACGTTCACATCACAGTCACTACATCTCTATCCCTTCCGTTCAACTTCACATGCCGAACACCATCATGCCTAAATACCCACTGATCACCAGCTCTACTTCGACTTGTAACCACGAAGACCCATTTGGTCTCCATAATGACGCAACCTCTCCGTCAGCTTCTTGTTACGGAAAATGCCATTTCAAAACACTGAAAACCGGTCAAAGGTACATCAGGGTCTCGAGAAAACCCACAATATCTCCACAGCACGATATGGAGAATGAATGGAGCAAGAGGCAAAAAAGTGTGTGGACTGTGGAGGGCAGAATCCACAAGTCTTCCCCACCCCGGCTTTCCTAACTCGGTACCCCACGTCCCGTCTAAGACAATGACCGCTATATCCTCGGGAAGCGGAGCATTCTCGTCTTTGATCCATGGTAACATGAGCAGGATAACAAATGCCGAATTCATCAAGATGGATCGTAATAGCCGCTGTAAGCTTCTGGCCATGAGGCGAATTCACATGTCAAGTCGTGGTGTGGCGTGGGGATAGCCAAGCGCCCTCGTGATGAACACTGTATGCCCCGCGTGGGGTAAGGCTTATTGGAGCACCTAAAACAGTGACATATGCACGACATACATCCAGGCGGCTAGTCTTCGCCTTATCGCGTAGGCGAATGAGCGACGAGATACTGCCACGCGAGGGCACTCGGGGTGGTAGGAAGAAGAGGAGAATTACCACGAAGCGCCACTGTCGCGGCGAAAGAAGTTGAACGAGGCAGACAATGACCGATCAAGCTACTAGCGAATCGTATGCGTGGTCAAATAGGCATGTAATAAACTTGATTTACCGTGTAGGCGCTAATAAGAGAAGAAAGTGGAGGAATGGAAGGCAGTAGCCCTTCTTATGACTCCTCGGGGTAACAACTGGGCATAGCCCTGCTTGCTCGCAGTTATTGTCCATCTGACAGCCTTCAAGCTCGACTCCGACAGCGGAAGTCAAAGGATCGACATTCTTGCATTTTAGGTGTCGCACTGCATGAAGTACGATATGGAGGTGAGCGGTGTTGGGAGCACAGTGGTCAAGCGGTGAGTCACCGCTCACAGCGGTTTCTTTGTCTGTTACGATGTTGAGACGCTGTATAGTCTGTCCGAGGAACAACATGTAGGGGACTGCAAGGCGGAGAGGGCCACAAGGCGGCGAGACCTTTCCCCTTGTCTTGTGACCAGTGCCTGGTGAGTGTGCGTCTGGAGGAGTAGACTTCGTTAATGCGTACCAAGAGGCTCCGTTGAATCTACCCCTCCATCATAAGACTTGCATTTGTGCAGCAAACTCCGATAAGATATCGCAAACAAGGTCAAATATGGTGTGACACACTATCTGGTGGTATTATCCTGTTACAGTAGGGATGCGACGATGTAGTCGTACCGAGTGGCAGCTGTCAGAGCCTCGTAGCTGCGTCCAACGCGAATGCTCGGAAGCAAGCTGCCAAATGCACGCTGCAAATCGTTTATCAGTGAAACACATCGCCTATTTCGACTGTCACAGATGACAGTTCGGTAAATACCATCTCGCACTAGATCTTGTGTGCCCAGCGTGCATCCCCGCGTCTGCTCCTCACGATCCATTAATTCTCCGGTTTTGATCAGCTACCGGAATTTCTCCTCCCCTCAACTGTAAGCGGAAAAATTCCCAACCGAGAACAACCAAGTGTTGTATACTGTGTACACAACAACGGATTATTCCTTTTAGATGCTATTTACCATGCACCTGCCTGTCGAGTACCTAGTGACATGCAGCCAGACGCAGGGCGATTGCTGATCTCAACGGCGGCCTAGGCCGATAATTCCATGGTACATCTGCACGCTCTCAAACAACCACACTGGCGGTTGTATCTCCAGATGAGGAAAGTACATCAAGTCTGGTAGTGTGTAGGATCTGGCTCTGGATTTCCTGGCGCGGGCGTTCGAGAACTTGGGGAATTTAACTTGTGAAAGAAATCAAATTCTGAAATTATTTGAGCCGTTCGAACCGCTCAGACCGCGGCCGTGAATGGAATTTTGAATCTGTATCCACTCACCGCCACTGCACGGTGTGTGTTGAGAAGTTGCATGAAACTGAGGCTCCAACACCTGCTCCACAGCCACAGCACCCGGCCGGTTTTCGCCAGCACCCATGAATCGTGGGTTCGCAGGACGACGAAAACACATCGGATGTATCTCTCCTGAAACTCCACATCGGAGCGCTGAAATTTTTACCCTTTCAAGCATCTTTATCGTTTGGGTCCACATCGGACATTCCATGTGAAAGGGTGACGGGCTTCTAGTTGAAGGCTGTAGCCGCACCATAAGCACGATGATGCTACCGATCCACTCACGTGCATTTTCACCGAGATGAACTTCGTTTACTTCGTACTGGCATGTGGATATCATAGCAGAGACTTTTTGGCGAGGGCGTCAGTTTTGCAAAAGGTGCATGAAGGAATAACGCCGTGCCGCCGGTTTAGTGCGGCTCTGCCGCAGAACGACGTCATAAATGAAGTTTGGTGATAGCATCCAGGCAAGTGATACGGGTGTTGACATGGGGTCAGATGGGGTCGTGATGGAGACGGCGGCACACCTGCTGCGTCGGGGTGTTGGCTGATGTCGTTTGTGGGACAAACGTCGTCATGAACAGGTGCTGTTTCGTGGGTCGGCAGACCCTGCATCTCGAAGTTTGCGCAAAACAGGCATGTGGTTCCTTGCATGCGAACTTGCAAACAAGGGAACCCTTTGTGTCAGCTAAGTAAAGTTTGTTCACACGCGATTTGGAACCTTCCAAGCTCGGTCGCCCACCCGCATTCTGTGCAGCAATAGCGAAGGGGCTAGGAGTAGCGGCAACGTGGCCTGGATGCCCGACCGACCTTCTGACCGAGTCGGCAACTGAACCAGAACTTTACTATGGTACTGGTTTGAGGGTAAAACAGAACCTCGGCAAAGGCAATATGGATGGTTCGTTCCTCGACGCGAGGAATTGCGCACGAGCACTCTGGAACGGTAGTTCCGCATGGAAGGATGGAAGAACCTTCCATGCTAGGGCGGACGGACTCACGATCCCCAGTTTCCAGAGCAAGCACAGACAATTTCTTGCCTCCGACCCCAGATTACCGGCAGAGTGTACAGGCAAAAAACGGGTCGCGAAAACGTGGAGATGAAAGCAGGGTGCTTTATTCCAGCATTCACCCGCACGCGGCTGCACGCAATGCAAGCGACAGGGCTGATCTTTGTGCTCCGTTTCCTTCGTGATACTTGCGAATTTATAGGCACAAAGCGTTGTATTTGCGGAAACCGTTGCAGTAATGGATGCGCACGGGAGGGTGTGCTCACTGCATGCGACGCGGACATTACAGATCTCTACTCAGCCTCCCGCGCACTGCAGGTCAGCCGTGAGCATTTGGGGTTCCGTACAACGCGAACGCAACGAATTCGGAATTTGATAACGAAAGGAAGGTAGCTGGACTTTGTTCGGGGGCAGCACGGATCCGCTGCGGCTGCAAGTATGACTCCTGTAAACCGTCGCAGCGAGCGATAATGGCGGTTGAAAGAGTATACAATCCATGCCGGGCCGAGATGTACCTCGCTACAACTATCGGTGGCAATGCTACCTCGCTCCACGGGCTGTAAAGTACCTGCCGGCTATGGAAGACTACTGGTGGATGAGAGTTGTGAAGAGGACCCGCAGGCTAGAAATTGTCTCGGAGGCGACGAGTGGGGAATGTCATCCACTGGACCCTGAGATCATCTTCGCCGAATGCATGTGATGGCGACTAATGCACCCCATGTGCTTGACCGGCTAAACCTCGATGCGAAATAGGAAGTTCGTGATCCGAGGCTTTCTTCAGACTTGAGGAAGCTTTGTGGAGCGGTTCCGTTTCGAAACGGCGAGGATCTGCCTGTGGTCGGGCTGTGTGTCGGCTTCTGTGGTCGGCTAGGCGAAGGGTGGCCAACCTGCGACACTCAAATCAAGTCGTCAAACAGCCAGATGGACGGTTTGGGCAGCATCCGTAAAAAAATCGCCATTCATTTCATTATTGCACATGGCGCACGGAGAGGCGGACAGTATCCCGGGGCATGCGTTTGCATTTCCTTTTGCGGATGTCAGATGCCGCCGGATGAAAGCGTGGGGATGCCACCAAGGGTCTCCCTATTCATCCCCGAGATGATCTTCTGATACTAAGCTTACTGCATTCAGCTATGCAACGAAATCTTATCCGCATCGATACTCGCGGAGACGGGCGTGGCGTGAATGAGTCGTGGGGTGTGTAACCGCTGTCACTGTCACATCCCTTGTCCAGATGCTTTTCAAGTCTTCAGGATTGCAAAGCAACGTGTGGCTACAGTGAGGACGCCTGACAGTGACGAGGCAGGCTTGGAGAAGGCAGCGAAGCGTGCTCGCTGGCAGCCGACAGTGATTGATGGCCTTGTGGACGAGTCATCGTTGCATTTCGCATGTGCGCACGTCGATAGGGCAAGCGACCGGGCCAGCGATAGGGCAAAGGATGGGCTGCCATGTCACGGTCGAGGTGCCCCGACAGCCGGGATGAGCTCGCAGGCGCAGCGGAGCAGACGGGGCTGACGGCTAGGGTAGCTAGAAATGGCAGCCTTTGTGAAGGGGCGGTCTGAGCTGCGTGGAAGCTCCGCCAACCACAGTGCACCCCTTCCAAAGAGCGGTCGCTCACCGACTCATAACAAAAGGCAAATCATAGAGCGCCAAATAAAAGCGTTTCATGCGGACCGGAGCGAGGCGTGGAGAGTGTATTGTTTACGGCGGAAGATATATGGAACCCTCCCCACGGCCAGGCCTTCATCTGATCTTCATTCGAGACACACGCAGACACACAGCCATTGCTTCTGACTGACTCGAACTCCTGACCCTTGCTTTAGCACCGCAAGAGTGACCCCGTGGCTGTTATTTAACAGACGCCCCCGACCAGACGACCAGATCCAACGATCGCAAATCTCCCGTATCGCTTTTCGAGACGCTGCCCGACGCTATCGGAGTAGCACCCGCAACCCTGTTTTTCCAGCCAGAACCCACATCGGCGTCATACATCATCAACCCGCCCCTGCACCTCGGTCTAGTTGCCGCGACACTAAAACTGACGAAAAAATCACGAAAACACACAGCAATCTTGTAGCGCCGAAAGTGCCCGCAAGTGTGTATATACAATAGCGACCCACCCCGTACGCTATATCCAGTTCACCATATTCACCTTCACAACTATGCACTTCGAATCATCACCAGGCTCATCTCCATCAAAGTCGCTGCCCATCAGCATCTCGCCTAGAAACAACATGTCTTCACCAACTTCCTCGTTGTACAGCAACTACTCTACCGAGGCTTCATCATCTCGTGGCTCAACATGTGCTTACCCATCATGGCCTACCGGTCCATCGCTGGACCACCGCAGTGCACCATCCTCTTACATTAGCGATGCCGACCTCTTTGGTGAGGACTTTGACGACGACTTCGCCTGCCCATTCCTCGACAAGGCTCCTGCTCCACCACGCGTCTACCCCATGGCACAGGCAATGCCCGTCTTGCCACCACTGTACGCGCCCAAGAAGCCAAAGAGCGAGCGTCGCCGCAGCAGTGGCAAGCAGCGTCGCACTTCCAAGCCCATGACTCCCATCTCCGAGTCACCAGAGCAGGTTGAATGAGCGCGCAATCAAGCGATAGCATTCGTGTTATTGTAAGTTTACCGACCCGATAACAAATCGCGACGCGATACTAACAGCCCTATCAGTAACTTATCTTGACAACATCAACGTCACCATTATTAGGCGCGCGCGTTGGCATCCGTCAGCATCACGTTGGCATGGCTGAGTCACATGAGCTGTCAGTCAGTCACTTGCCACAGTCAGCCTCACTCATCATGTCCCGCACCGGGACCTGAGTATTCCGCGTCTCGCGCCTCAGCCGACCTGGCTGTCAAGTCCTGTTGCATCTCACTTCAAGCACCACGAGATGTAACAGGAACGGGTGGATGCAACCTCCCCCGCATGTCAGCCTCAGTCACACTGTCATTCTTATCAACGGTGTGAACGTGGACGCCTTTGTCTCAACGTCCACCACACGACAGACAGCCTTCAAGGCGCAACACTCCCTTGCGTCGTTCGTTATGTCGTGCTTGCGCACCCGCATCCAGACCGCGTTCTTGCGCAGATCCTGGCGATCATTTAGAAAGAGGAGGAACTCCAGACTGGCTTGGAGCTGGATGAAGAAACGGATTGGAGGATAGCATTTGTGACGAAATCCTCGCTTTTGCAGGTTTCGTGGCGTTCTCTTTCTCTCGATACCCCCGCTTCCGCAAATCGGAATGCCAATCTTGTATGCGCCGCTTGTGTGCGCAAAAGGAGCGAGAGGCTTATTTGTGGCTGATAAGCTCCCTCGCTCGCCTGTTTTCCCTTTATTTGATACCCCCACCTACCAGCCTTAGCATAGCATAGCCATCGTTTAGATAGATACCCCATTTGCAGAATCTACAGCATCATGTCTTACCTCAACAATACTCCCTTACCATTTCCACACATAATAGCGCTATTCGTGATGATCATTCTAGATTAGTAGAGGTATGTGATGAGGATGTGACGGGCGTCTTAGTCGAATTTTGAGGTGTGATTGTTGAGATGTGTGGCGCTCCAAGAGCGAGCTTCGGTAGTTGCTCCCATGTTTCTTTTGCATGCAGCGCATCTGCATCCACCCGCATTCGTGATGGGAATCGCATTCTACATGCTTGGAGTCGCGAACGAAAAAGCAATTTGCTGAACGACCAGTTGGGCGTTGTTGAAGCGACGTCACCGTGCCTTCGGTTGGATATTTGATAGTGTTCGTCGCCGAACAGCCCTACATTTTCTCAATTCGGCAATCCCTCACTTTACGCACTCTTGAATCATGGTGAATGATCCTTTTCTTCCCGTCCCCTGTATATCGCGGGATATGCCCAAGACAAGCTTTTTCTTCTTCTCAAATCTTGCTAGGGTTGTTTTCTGGTACTCGAAGCTCTTGTACATCGTGCGGGTCCGTATATTGGCCACGCTGTATCACGGTACGGTTTGGGTGGACCCGCAGCGTTGACAGCGATGCATGCTTTGACTCACATAGAGTAGTACGCACGCTTCTGTCCAGGAACGACACGCGATTTGTGCGAAACTGCTTTGCAATTTTTGCATCCCCCGCTGTTTTCCTGCCAATGCCGTGGGGGAAGTATAGAGCACTGTACTGAGAAGAGGGGCAAATGCGCGTGGCTGGTAGACGGTGTAGAAAGAACTGGGATTCAGCTCCTTAGTCGGGCGCTTCGCTTGCATCGATGAAGAAGTGCGAACAATCCATCACGGAACTAGCAATGCGTGCCCAACTTCATGACACCCACCCCCGTTCCTGCGATACCGTTGGGTATAGCTCGAACGGTGTAAGACGCTGCTGAGAGCTAATGACACGGCCTGAAGCAGTTTTGCTAAATTGTTTCTTCATGCCGAGCCGGGGCACTTGAAGAAACACGAGGTTTTTGTAGCCACTATGGACTGGCATGCATATATCACGACCGGGGAATGAAGCTCGCATGCCAGATCGGCGGAGCTTTGACTTTGCTTGAACCTGACGGGGCGGGAGTAGATCGATTGTGCTTGGTTAGCGACGTGTGCCTCTATGTTTCCTGCGTCTGCAGCGGCACGTTATGCTCTGTGCTTGGTTCAACAACAGAATCATTCCTGGGCCGTATGTAGGTCGTATGTAGGCCTCATGTAGATATCAACACATTAGTCGAGCATGGGTTGCAAGACGTTACAATGGCTCCGCGATACAAGCGGCTGGGTTCGAATATGAAGTCGGAACTACCATCTCGTGGGGTTTCCCACGTCGTGCACGAGGTTTTGATGTTTCTTCCGGGACGGGCCATGGCTTGTGCAGGATAGTCGTTCAGGGACCGTGACCTTTGTGCCACCAACTTACATATCCGCTCCCGAACGCTGCGGGTTGAGTCCGTTGCGCAGAAGCTTGGGCACGATGCGCTAGCTGCGGCGACGACGGACGCTTCAGTATGCGAACGGTTGACCAAGCGGCAGGTGGAAAATTGTGAACATGTCGTGATGGCGCTACCGTCACCGTACTTTTGAGAAGAGTCATGCCAGCGTCGAGAACAGAGAGTCGTTATATGCATCGAGTCGACGAGGCATGTCGCATATTTGAGCACGTAGGGATCATCCTTTACGGGCCGGTCCAAGGCGGCCGTACCGCTTGCTGATACGCTGGTTTCGAGCGCGAAAGTGTGATGATTGTGCGGTAGGCACATGAGCTGGCCAATGAGATTCGCCAACTCGTGTGCCCCTAGGACCCCAGTCTTCCGCATCTTCGTCCCTGTGCCGTTCAGCCCTCTGAGAGGCTACTTTCCAAACCCACGCAGGCACGCCGGCGCGAACCTAACCATTAACATGCGGTGTCACCAACTTGGCTTCCAGGATTGCAGGATGCGTCTGCTTCGTTCGTCGAGTTCCCGAAGGTCCAATGTCGACCTTTCACAGTTGGCGAGCGAATGAGGCTGCTCAACCCCAGCCCGTTGACGCCTTTTCCTGCCGGGTATGCTGCTCGTTGGCTAGACGGCACCAACCGATGCTATTCGTACTATTTCGAGCGAGTATCAGTCGGGCTTTGGAGCTCTAAGCGCCGTTAGTGATAGGCGGGCGTCCACGCGCTTCAACTCACACATCGCCTGCGCAGTTGTCGCTTTTTCTCTACCTTCTCACTGTCTTGCTTGTTCGTCTGTCTCTTCAGCTGCAAGTTGTTGTACCGCCGCATAAGACGAAAAGCGGTACCCAAGTTCTGTTTAACCGCCTCAACTTTGATCCCTGTAGAGACCGGGGCGGGGCCAAAGGGTACCCTCCTCCAGACGCCGTGGAGCTGTCAGCGCATTGCTGTTTAGCGCGCTCTTGCTCTCTGCAGTGAGTTGGATTCCCCTGACGTCTTGCAGTTTCATACTCGCTTTTATGGAAGCTCCTGATTGTACTCCTGTGCTCCCAAATCGCCATTGTCTTCATCGTTATGCGCTTCGCGGGCCCTTGCGGATTTGACCCGACTGACGACCAACCCAGATCCAGCCCTCAACATGTCGACTGGACTAAGACAGCGCGCGAATTCGAACTCGATCAAAAGCAATTCGGTTCGAACCACAGACGTTAAACTCAAACCCCCAACGCCGGGTCAAGATGAATTCGCATTCGAGCCCTGTGCGGCAACCGGCTCCTTCCTGCTCTATGCGCAACGGAATGTGATCCTATGCCTCCACCACGACACTTTGGCAGTAGAGAGACGCTTTGACAGGCACCGGGAAGATGTGTCGTGGATATCAGTCGACACAACAAGCGAACGAGGAGCAGGTCGGTTGGTCGTCTCCTACGACGCCGGCTCGACTGCAATCGTTTGGGATCTGTTCACCGGCGACGAGGTGGCGAGGTTTGCGTCGTACGAGCAAATTAGAGTTGCGACGTGGATGAGGAACGGGAATGTTGCTTTTGGTGAGTGTCAGGGTCGGGCAGTCGCCATTGCCTGTTTCGGTGCTAACATATGCATAGGAAATGCGCAGGGCAACATCATCCTGTTCGAGCCTTCCACCTCTGAACACCTGTCCGCGAGAACCATCTTCGACCCCATCACAGCATTAGCACCAGCTTCAGACTGCAGAACATTTGCCATTGGGTGCGTGCAGAAGAAATGACAACGCATCGGCATCACCACTGACAACTCCAGATACCTCAATGGCTCCATTCTAATTGCCACCCTGCAGCCATCCTTCACCATCCTGCACACCCTCACCACCCCGCGTAACCCATCGCCTATCGCAGGTCTAGCCTGGCATGGCTCTTCATCCAAGCAAAAGTCGGAGATGTTGGCCGCCCAAACATCAGACGGTGACCTCCGGGTATGGAGCGTGCCAAAGGCCCAGCATGGCAGCGATGCCCCTTGCGTGATTCGTGTTCTTAACCAAAAGGAACAGAGAGAACCCGGCCCCTGTTGGTTTGCATGGTCTAAGAATGGTAGAATCGTACAGTACACCGAAGGGTACGTCCCTTGCTTTGTATCCCCGATAGGTCCTTCGTACTGACACGTGACATTACAGTCAAACCTGCGCGTGGGATGTCCGCACCAAGAGAGTGTCCTATGAAACCGTGCCGACAACTGATGGCATCGCTGCCATCTGCAATTACGGCCCTACTGCCACCCTCTTCACCATTGGACGTAATTCCAGTATCCAACAATACGATATTAACCCCAGCAACGGTCCCGCCACAATGGTAGCTAACGTTCAGCATGCACCCGCCAACACACCCCCATCACCACCCAGCTCTCTCGACGAACAGAAGCAGCAAATGGAGACACCGCTGACTGCTCTCCCATCAAAGTCCAAGACAATCCCGTTGATGCTTGCCGAATCAGAAAGCAGTGCCGATGAAGGTGTTGCCATGTCGCCGCTTCAGAAGATCGCCATGGAGATGGACCAGCTCGAAGAGGAACGCCGCGATCGCGTTGGGCCCCTCAGCCCCGTGTCAAGTCGAGGCTCTCAAAGCTCCCGATCATCTGGCAGTGGTCGCGCTCCACGCTACCGATATGACAGGCCGTCGCACGGTTCGGCGTCACAGCGGTCGACTAAATCGAAGAGATCAGAAAGCTCAGGTGGCTCTGGTACCATCTTCTCGTCCGGAACATCTTCTATGGCCGGCACTTCAACGCGGGAGAGCGTTTCCATCCGATCAATCTCATCAGCTGCATCCTCGTCTCGGTACGGCTCTTCAGCTCTGCGGAAGGAAGTCCTTAGAAGTCCCGACGAATCCAAGAAGAATCAGCACATGGATCTCTTTCCTTTCACTAAAACAAGGCTTAGTGACGTACCCTTCCGCCCTACAGATCTTGGACCAGAACGTACCCCGGACGATCTTCGACTGAACATGCTCAAGGTTGTGTTCGGGTGGGAACAAGACATTGAGGATTTGGTTCAGGACGAATTGGCACGTCATCCTCCCGGGTCAGCCGCTGCCGTACTTTTGTCAAAGTGGCTCGGCGATCTTGGTGCTGACCTCATGGCTTCTATGGTTGGATCTGAGTCAATGACTTCCTCAGACTGGATGTTGCTGGCTTTGAGCAACATGGGACATGGTTCACAAAAGAAGGTCGGTGAGGCCTTCGTGCAGCGTCTTCTGGAGAAGGGCGACATCCATCCTGCCGTCGCAATCTTCCTCGGACTTGGTGAACACAATGACGCTATCGAGGTCTACGTGTCTCGCAAATACTACATGGAGGCCATTCTACTGACCTGCTTGACATTTCCAACTGACTGGCAAAGACAATCCTTCCTGGTCAGGAAATGGGGAGAGCATGCTGTATCACACGGCAAGGCAGAATTGGCAGTGCGGTGTTTCTCGTGTATGGGTCTCGAAACTACTGAGCCTTGGTTCTCGCCACGTGCGCAAGATGCAGTTTTCTCTGCGCAGAAGCAGGCACTCCTTGGCTCCCAGATGAGTCCGCCATTGTCGCCCCCTAGTGGCAGTGTTGGCAGCAGCCGAGTAGCGGCTAGGATGGCCTCGCTCAAGCTCGTCACTGACTTCACTCGCGGTCCCCAGCCTAAACAAATTGTCCGAGAAGAAGACGAGAAGACACCCATGAACGCGGGTGTCACGCCTATCGCTGAGTCAGCTATCAGTCCTGCTGTAGGCCATCACGGCTGGCTTGGCCGTGCTGCCCGCGATCCCTCCCGAGAGCCTTCTTCGGCACGAACTGCGACACCAGGTTCATACGGTAGAAAACGTTTCCCTTCGCGATCTGATACTGGCCGCAAAGCTACGAACAACGAAGTCCTCGCATCATTGGCCATCCCGGACCGAGGCCACCGTGGTGAGTCGCATCCGAGAACCGCTGTTGACAACATCGGCCGTGAAGCCGAGACGTTGCCATTCTCAACGCGCCGAGCAACAAGTGGCTCCAAAGATTTTGTTCTCTCTGCAACAACGTTCAATCCAGGGCAATCCAGCGATCATCTACCTTCACCAGCAGTAGGGGTGTTCGATGCACTCAAGGAGAAACATAGCGAGTCTCGTGGCAGCTCTCGAAGTCGGAACATTCAAGAGCTCCATCTGGACATGACAGACAATGTAGTCGAAGTCGGCCCGGAAACAGGATATACCAACAGACTTAGCCCACCTCTGACCGGAACAAGCATTAAGAGTGCTAAGGCGCGCAGCATCGACCAATACATCAGCAGCCTAGACGAAGCTAATCACTATGCGCAAAACCGCTCTAACTCGCGAAATGAGGAAAGGCCTGCTTCACGCACAGCGCGCACTCGCAGTCGCAACCGCGAAGAATCGCAGAACCGTGGACGGTCAGGTATCCGCTACATCCGCCCTGCAAAGCGTTCTCCTTCCTCGCCTGTCCCAATGTCTCCAGAGGATGCGGGGATCTATTCTGTGAACAAGAAGGAAGCAGGGACTAGCACGGAAGATTTCGATGATGAGAGGTTCTATAAGATGAGCGTTGCTTCTCCAGTTGTTACAGAGTCTGTCGCCAGCACCCGCACCACTCGCAGCCGAGCAAGACAAGGAGTAAGCAAGACTAGGTCATCCTCCAAGACGGCTACACGCCGTAATGAGTCTCCGGAAGGAACCACGCGTGCTCGAAGCAAAGGCACTAGCCGCGCATCAAGTCGTCGCCCAGCTGAAGGTCGCGGACGAAGCGCTGTTCGGGGCGAGAACTCTCCTGTATCTCCTCAACCCATGCAACGCGACGACAATGAGGGATTTGTCGACTATGAACCTGTTCGCCCACGGCATCGCAGCGGCAGCCGCAGACCTTCAGGAAGCGGTGCAGACAGTCGCCGAGAAGCCTCCCCAGAGCGCCGTGCGCCACGAGACCGATCAATGAGTCGTAGACCTACGCCGGCTCTAAGGGAATCCAGCCGAACAAGGGGTCATGGACGGGATGCTTCTCCTGAGTCGTTGACTTCAGGACGTTCTGGTGTATCGCGCATGCGTCCTACCACAGCTTCAAGGAAGGCTTTAGCTGCCCGTGAGCTAGAAGAACGCAGACTGTCGTTGGCTCGGCGTCCATCCGCTCCACTCATCCCTCATCCTGGAGATCTCGCATTCCGACCAATCTCTCACGAGCGGTCGAACACTGATGACATGCTGAACTCAATGTCGATGTATCGTGATCCCATTCAGAGAAGCCAAACAGCGGACCCGGAGATGACTAAGAGATATTCACCTACCAACAGAATGGGCGGTGCAGGACCAACATCGACAACATCCGTACCCATTGGCCTCCCAGCGAACCCCCGCGCCATGCGTCATCCCCGATACATGACCGCCGACCCGAACGAAGAGGACGATATTCCTGCCGTGCCTACCATCCCTGACAATATGCAACACCAACAATCTCAGTCCGGCGAGACTGACGACATTGGGCCTCTCCTTCCTGCAACCACTTTTGGTCAGCCTATCGCGCCCCCCTCACGATCTGTGTCAGCACCTCCGCAAGACATACTCCCATCCAGTTCATATAACTCGCCTACCTACCCTTCCATCGGCAGACGCCCCTCTCTAGGTGGATCTCGTGGTCATGCTCGACAAAACACGATGCCCGATGTCCTTCCTCAGACCAACTACAAGCGTCACAGCCCGCCTCCAATCACAGCTAGCATCGCTGAGACGATCCACGAAAGCCAGAATCAGGACAACCAAGTCATAGTTATCGACGCAGAAGACCATGGTCGTGCACCGCCTCTACTATCTCAGCTCCAGCACCTAGCAACCCCACCGCCGCCACCTCCACCACCGCTAAACCTCGGCGGTGGCAACGGCATTGGCATGATCAACATTGCCATTGAGGGCAACAGCCCAGGCGAGAAGCCCTTGGAAGTTTCGCCCACTCAAGCTTCTGCTACTGGATCTCCACACGCTCACCGACGGGGTCGCGGCAGTGTGAGCGAAAACCTCGGTATGACATTCAAGCGCGTAACTGAACGCATGCGTAGCACCAGCCGTGGGCCCCAGCGCGCCAAATCTCCACCAGTCAACCGCGCTGAGCGGTCTCCCTACGAGAGTGTTCCTGAGTTCTCTTTCCCACGTGGACCCAACACGAGATCTCCTCCCGGTGATAACAACATGGGTAACCACCATGAGTCGTACTTCAACCAGATCCCTCCTCCGCCTCCGCCTCCACCGCAGCCTATGGAGCAGGTCATCCCTCCCACTGAGAATGGTCAGCCATTCTATAGGCATCCCAAGGAGCTGAGGGCCAACATGCCCCCCAATACGTTACAAGCTGGCGTATACCAGAGCGGCGAGCACACACCCATGATCTAGGCTCTCGATTTCGAGTAGCCAATTTTGCACACACCATATACAACTGAGACGGCCTATACATTACGACATCTTCGCATCCTTCTCCACCATCATTGGCAACATATCCGTTGTTTTACTTCATCACCATTTCATTTAGCATCTTCTTTACCGAGCGTGTTTTTTTTTTATCGCGTTGCTTTGTTTGTTTCTTGTTTCAGAGTACCATTTAGCGGGTCATTGTATCTTGAAACCAAAGACTTGGATCTGGGAAAACTATCTCCACCTGTTCTCCATACGCTTCGCGGCGGACATTGTCGATACCCTTTTTTTGTTCTTGTTCGCTGAGGGAACTCGGTTATATAGCTTTATCTTTCTTGTGGGTAGTTGATTGAGGCATTTGGTTTTTTTTTGCATCCGCAGGGTAGGGGTATTCGCATCGGGTTGGTTTGAAAGGGGAGGGTAAACCGGGGTAAATGTATCTGACGACGACGACGACGACGACGGAGCAGAAAGCAGTTGGTTAGATGGGGGTAAAAGAGCTGGAAATCTTTCATCTTCAAACGTTAATGTACATGCTTCATGATTGCGCTTCTTCTCTTTCTTGATGCCTGCTACATTGCTGCTGCTGCTGTTGCTATCTTGTGTCTTTTGTGTTCTTTCCATCTCTTGCTACATCCCCCCACCCTGCGGACCCAAAGCGCCCCATATCACTGTTCCCACATCACTGTTTCCACGAAATTGCCTGCTCCACTCTGAAACGTCATGTCCATTTCCTTTACCATATACCAAAGACAACCGCCTCACGGCACCAAAAGCTCGATTTCCCATGGGAGCCATTAGGCTACCCTGATTGTCTGTTTTCCTTACAACACTCCTTCATGTTACTGGTAAGAGGGCTGGTGTAATAAGGACACGTTTTAGTCTAGTCAAATTTGAACTGAATACACTCCCTACTCTACTCTGCGCAAAATGTGTGACCTTGCTATAGACTAAGGGTACAGGTTTGGAGTACTCGTAGCACGACGAGCATGGAGCGGAAATACAAAGACAACTTGCCCGCAAGGGTGATTTCGAAGATACTCGATAAGAAGGGGAAACATGACCGAAGGCACGAGTTGCGTTACGGTCGGAGACACACAAACGAGCACGTTTCATTGTTGAAGAAGTCAATAGAGGGAAGTAGGTATGCACGTCTCATCTTCATATCTTCTACTACCTCGCTAAGCTTCTATCATGCTAACCTCTTACTACATGCCATTGCCTCATACTCATGTCCATGCAGTAGACGCGCGGTATCGCATACTCTCAAGTTATATCACAATGCCTCCCGACTGATCCATCTGCGACGCCGTATACATGTCTCGTATGCCGCGGTCTCTGTTATCGATAGTAGGAAGGCCATGTAAGACGAACAGTGAGCATAGACATATTGTGGCGTATTCAATGTCGTTGGTACTACGATACAGGCGGCGATCGTATCCGATGGCTCTGTCGTCAAAGTGCTAATGTTTCATGTCTGATACACATGACCATCATTCCGTTCACGTAGCAACGTTAGCAGTGGCAACAGGTGCCGGAGCTGAAGCCGACGCAGCAACAGCAGCAGGTGCATTAGAAGTAGCTTCGCCAGCACCTCCAGCATTCACAGGACCAGCATGCCCTCCCCTAGCACCACCTCTGCCGCCACGTCCGCCCCTCGGTCCAAAGCCTCCCCTTGCACCGCCACGAGCAGGTCCAGTCGGAGGTCCGTTAAATCTTGGGTTTGGGCCCCTAGCAACTTTTTCTTTACGCTCAAGGACCTGCACAGCGCCTTGAGCAATCTTGATAGGACTGGCAGCCATGGCTTTGCGTAGACCCTCTGGCTCAGCAAAGTCGACGTAGGCGAAGCCCTTGCGCTTGTCGATTTCCACTTTGTCGATGCCGCCAAATGTCTTCATGACTTCTTCGATGAGGGGTTCGGTAATGCCTTGGCTGGGGTTGGCGTGCTTGAGGAAGGCTTGCTTGCTTGTAGGAGCAGGCACGGGATTGGCTGGCGCTGCTTTTGAGGCGTTGTTATGTGCTTGCGCAGGTGCAGTCTCGGTCTTGGCGGGAGCGGCGTGCGATTGTGTTGGAGCGGGACTGTTTCGAGCAGCAGCAGGCTCGGTTGGTGGTACCCGCGAGGCAGCTGGGCCTTTAGGAGGGTTCGGTGTTTGAGGCTTCTTGAGAATTTGAGGCGCAGGGGTCTTAAGTGGTGTCTGTGGCTTCACATCGCTGGCAGTGGCCTTGTCACTGGATTTGTCACCCTGATTGGCCTTGAATGCGCGTCGTTCCGCTCGAGTTGGGCGTTCTTTTCTGCTTGTTTGTGAAGTCTTGTCTGGAGTTGATGCAGCTGGTGGCGCGACAGGCGCTTCCTTGGCCTTTTCATCCACTGCTTTGGTCTCCTTTGCTTGAGCGTTCGCATCGGGCGCAGCTGCACCAACCTCGCGCTTCGTTCCGCGTCGACGGTTGGGAGCAGGCCCTACACCAAGGTCACGCTGTAACATGGACTTTGCGAGTGCGACGTTGCCGCGCTTGCGCTCTGGTGCCGGACTGGCAGAAGACTTGTCTGCCGTCCCAGCAGTTGCCTTGGAGGACGATGCTTCCTTGTTAAGGATCTTGACGGCCTCTTTGGTTGCTTGAGCCTTGTCAGCCTTGCTCATCCGACGATTCTTGTCATTCGAGTTGAGGGCGTTCTCCTTGCCTGGCTTGGCGAGGATCTTCTTCTCACCACCATCGTCCTTGGCCTCTCCACGCCCTCTGTTGCCCTTTGCGCTCGGTTTATCCCGGTTGGCTTTCTTCTCCCGGAGTGCTTCGATCAGAGGCGTGGTCTTAACCTTCTCCTTCTGGCCTTCATTCTCGGCAGCAGGAGGCTTAGTGATGGGGTTCGTGAGGCTCTCGAGGAAATCCTTGAAATCCTGATCCTGGTCGATGGTGCCCTGGCGGTTGTCGTTCCTTCGGCGACCCCCGGGCATCTTCGGGTAGGGAGCGTACTCGAGCGTGGGGGGTCCGACGAGGGCGGGGTCCTGCCATGATTTGGTCGCATCGTGGAAAGTAACTGTGCGCACGTGGTCGCCGAGTGCCTTGACATGGTCCTGTTTCGTAACGTGAATGTATACGCGCGCTGGCTTGGACGGTTTGGCGGCACTGAGGTGGTCAACATACTGCCCAAGCAAACAAGTCAGGAAGGACATACTCCGTCGATATCTTGCCTTTCCTGTAGTTGATCCAATCGATCTTGCCAGCACCCAGTTTCCATTCGTTACCCAGGGCCTCAACAAACTCGGCCTTGGTGAGGCCTGGGGGCAATCGCCGACATATCAGCTTCAGGCGGGGCTGAGCAGCCTTTGGGCCGCGGGAGGTCTGGGCTTGGGGATTCTTCTGGAGGAGTGTGACGGGTAGGACGCCGTTGGGATTGGTCTGAGGAGGGGCCATGGAGGGCGCGATTGTTCCTGTACAGGTTGAGTTTGTATACAGCTAGACGAGTTGCAGTTCTGGTGTATGAGTTAGTACTGGATATTGTGAGACACAGTATGCTGTATACCGTAGGTAAATGCAATGTAGCCCTCGGCTGGGTGAATTATCTCAATTGTAGTTGAGTTGGGGCGAGGTGGACGAGAGAGCGACAGTTGCTTTGGGTGAACATTAGAGATATCAGGCAGGAAGGCAGTACCAAGCGCGGCGATTGTTTTTGATACTCTGTGAGACACGGCGACTTTGGCAATGACGCAGCGACAATGGGCGCGCTTTCACGAGGCAGTGGGCAAGGGCAGGCGCGAACGGCAAGCGCCGAGGGGCGGCAGCTGCCCCACCAAAACCCGCACCTCAACTGCACCTCAACCACGACGGCACATGCCCAATCCCCGCCCTCTCTAGCTGCAGACGACATAGCTTCCTCTCACCCACTGTCTTTGCTTTTACTGCCAGTCACCTTGACCCATGATACCCTACAGCCGACGCCTCAGCACCGCCATCGTCACACGACCAACCTCCTTCCCGCCGCCATTGTCGCCCTCCTGCATCTAAACGCACCGCATCGAGCCCTTCTTGTTGACTCTGACTTCAAAGACGACTGAAACATGGGGAAAGACAGCGATGTTCCACAGCCAGGGCCTGCGCGTCTCGCAAAGGGCGCAGGACCCGATGAATGGCTGGAGCAAGCCAAGCAATGCAAGTACTTGCCCGAGGCAGACATGAAGCGACTATGTGAGATTGTCAAAGAATGTCTTATGGAAGGTATGTGATTCGGAATAGCAAGACCGCCATGTCAGAAGGAAGAAGAGAAGGTTAGACGGTGAACAGCGCGTGTCTTGAACCGTACCTGGAACCAAACAGGAGACTAACGCCATCCATTAGAATCCAACATCCAACCCGTAAGAACACCCGTCACGGTATGCGGAGACATCCACGGTCAATTCTATGACCTTCTCGAGCTCTTCCGCGTCGCTGGTGGCATGCCCAACGACTCCCCTGCCGCACCCCTCGCACCGCCAGTCACATTACCAAGCACAATTAACCCCGCCGATCTCGAGCCTCCCACAAGCATAACAGATCCCAAAGTAAAGCGCAAGATGAAGAGGCGGTTCCAGCGCGACCCCAATTACACCGGGCCTACGAGTCCTCCTGGCGGTGATGGCGATGAAGAAGGCGATGACGATGAGGAGGAGGAACGAGGTCGAAGCAGGAGCGTCCACGACAGGCGGAGTATCGGATCCGCATCCGACGCAGACTCGGCCAAAAACACAGTTGGCGGAAACGGCCAGCAGAATTTCATCTTCTTGGGTGACTTTGTCGACCGAGGATATTTCAGTCTGGAGACTTTCACTCTTCTCATGTGCTTGAAGGCAAAGTATGCATACGAAATCGGAATAGCACATTATAGATACTGACAGCGACAGATTCCCAGACCGCGTCACACTGGTCCGTGGAAACCACGAATCGCGACAAATCACCCAAGTCTACGGTTTCTACGAGGAGTGCCAAACCAAGTACGGCAACGCTTCAGT